TGAAGATGAATATACAATATTACCAAATCCAAAAATCCTAATCTTTTCCAAGCCCAGTGTGCCTTAGGATTTGTTTGAGTTGCAATTTGATACACACCTTCAGCCAAATCAAATTCACCATCAGAATGATAATACTCACTTAAATAAAATCCAGCATCCTCTTCTTTTGAGTCAATGGTGTAAGCTTTTTGATAACATTTTTTTGCACGTACATGATCCTCCTCAATAAGTCTATAGTAATGTCCAAGATAAGTGAATGCGCAAGCAAAATCTGAATCGAGTTTAAGCGAATGAATGAATTGTGCGTATGCATAATTTTTATTTTTGCGATATTCATCTATAAATAAACAAGTTGATTGATAAAAAACTAAATGTAAAAACATAAATGTGTCTTTTTAAGCAGAACTTATTATTTATATGTAATCATACCATCCATAGCCCAATATATTCTGCCTAAACGACAGTAATAAAGAGCATTATCATTAGACAAATCAATTGCTTCAAGAATAAATTTTAAAGCTTCCTCGTAATTTTCTTGTAATAAATGAATCCAACCAATTTCACTCTTGGATATGTGATGTGATGGATCCAACTTTAAAATCTTTTTAAATACTTCAAGTGATTTTTCATAATCTTTTTGTGCAGAAAGTATTATTCCGACTCCCTATATATATATAATTTAATTATTATACTATTTTGAAAAAAAATAATATTAATTAAACTTAATAGGGAATTACCTGGAGTGCCAAAATATTATTTGAATCTTTCTTTAAAACTTTTTTATATAATGGTAAGGCATCTGAATAAAATTGTAAACCGATATTAAGATAGCAAGATGCTATACACAACTCAAACGAACTTATCAAACTATATCAAAATAAGTTTAACTTAAAACTTTTATCACATATTAATATATTTTTAAAAACAAAACTTGATTGATTGATTAATTACCTATCAAGTGAAAAGCTCATACTCTTGATATTATTTTGAGTTAATTTTTTACCAGTCTCTGCGTATTTTAAAGAATTTTCATAATCCTTTAAATCATGATATATCCAACATAAAGAAAGATGACCGAAGAGACTATTTGAAGTAATTACCAACCCATCCTATATATAAATCAAAAAAAAATTAATTTATTTTGAAAGAAATACAAAATAAATAAATTATACAATTGTAATAAAATGATTTATTTTTTCATAAGGGTATAATAATAGTAGTAATAATAATAATAATAATAATAATAATAATGATAATGATAATGATAATAAACCTGATAAAGATTCAATGCTTCTTCTGTTTCATCATCTTTTGAATATCGAAAATATCCTTGAATCATTTTTGATAAACCAGTTTCAGGAAATTTTTTTGAATAATTTTCAAGTAATGAAACATCATATTCATCTATATTATTTTGGGGAAAACATTTTTCTAATTTAAAAAAAAATTATTTTATTTAAAAAGAAAGAATTAAAAATAAAAAATAAAATTTTCTTGAACCTGCAGAACTCGCGTTAGTACTTTCTATCAGGATTTCATATGGTATAGGAGAAGGAGAGTCTTGGTCAACAAAAGATTTGGCTATTTTCAAAATTTTTTCACATAACTATGGATACACATATTTAATCATTTAATAGCTGAAACGTATAAAATATATATAACTAATTATAAACATACCCTATTTTTATTATCAACAGAAGATACTGAAAGTTTCTTTCTAATATGCTCAATATAATTTTTTTTAAGATTCTCACTATCTAGATCAGAATTATCAGATTTTTTAACAATTTCAAATAATTTATCATAAAATTCTTCTAACTGTCACAATTTCAAATGATGATGATGATGATGATAAAATGATTTTTTTTTTAATAAATTTTTAAATTTTTTAATCTATAATAAATAAATAAATAAATAAATACCTCAGAAATTTCATAAACTTCTTGTTCAACTTGAGCTTGAACTAATTCTGGAGGACCAGAGTTAATCCGGCTTTTACGCGATTTAATTTCACGTTGAATTATTTCTGGTTCATCTTTTTCCAATAAACTGATTATTGTTTGTAGAGATTGTCGAGATTTTGCAACGACACCCGGAAGTACTTTTATTAAATCATAATATGGACTTTCTGGTAAAAAATATTTCAAGGTTACTATAAGCTAATAAATTATGAAACATTATTTTATTACTATTATTATTATTACATATTAATATTATTAATTAAAATAAGTATGGGGTTTTTTTACATACATTCTTATTATCTTTGACTTTATGTGTGTATAATTCAACAAGTTTATTAATCGTATCCAATGTATTTTGTGCATCTTTACTAATGAATATTTAAATAGCAAAAGTAAATATATATGTAAATATTTATTAGCAGAAAAATAAATCAGACAGAAAACTTTTCATCTGACCTTTCATTATAACGACCAAGTAATTCTAAATATGTATTTGATAGATTTGTCCAATTTTTTTGTTCCTCGTATAATTTTTTAAGTCCCTGAAAAGAATAATAGTAGTAGTCAAAGATGAATTGAAGGGAATAACTAAACAATCAATAAGCTAGCTAGCTACATTATACCTTCCAGGGAACAATTTGAGAACTATCTATTTCAATAGCACGCTTTAAAGCATTTTCACATTCATTTAATTTATTTAATTCTGTATACGAGGCACCAAGATAAATATATCTATCATAAAGAGCATTTCGTGTTATTTTTCGAAAAAAAAAATTGAATTGTTGCATTATTTTTTTTTAAAAAAAGTCATGCTTACGCTTTATAATTATCAGGCTCATACTGTAAAACTTTTTCACAATTTTTTATAGCTTCTTCATAGTTTTTAGCATTTATTGCTTGAATAGCATTCTTTAAGGCAGATTTAACAATATTTGACGACATTTGAAAAAAATAGAGACAAAATTTGATAAAACCCAATTTGTGAAAATCACAAAAATTTTATTTTTGATTTTTAATAATTAAATTACATTAATAAATTATTTTATTATATATATTATATTAAAATTTCTCTATGTTCTATCTATTTAATGAAACGTTTTATTGTACGTTTTTTTGGTGCTTTTGTCGCGGTTTTGGGTGAGGGGGCTGGTGCGGCAGCAGGTGAGGGGGCAGCAGCTGGAGCAGCAGCTGGAGTAGCTAAAGCATTATGCAATGGTAAAGCTAAACAACCTCCAACAGTTGTGGTATTAAATCCTTTGCCAGTAACAATTTTTACAATTTCAGGAACCAAACTGACGGTTTCTTCGTAAAGATCATGTCCTAAGGAGATATGACCAGTTGTTGCAGTAGCATTGTTAACCCATAAATTGAAATCATCTAAAACATTTTTGGGAGTTCTATTTGCTGGTTCGCTCTTTATTTTCCAGTCGAATGAATCCAAATCCCATAAAACAATTTTATAGCCTAAAGCTGTGGCAATTGCTCTCACACGATCATCATAGTCACCTTGTGGTGGACGAAGGGTATTTGGTGTGACACCGCCAGCTGCTTGAATTGCTCGTTCGGTCCATTTGATTTCGGCAACAATTTGTTCATTGGTTTGAGTTGTTAAAGGTGTGTGTGACCAAGTGTGAACTCCTACTTGATGATCTAATAATTTATTATAATAATAATTATTATTAATTTGCGTAAAAAGAACAAGGTTAAAAAAATTAAATTAAAAAATCAACAACGTACTAGAGGTGATAGCTCTTTTCACTAACTCGGGATGGGCTATAATACGAGAACCGACAGCAAAGAAAGTTACTTTTGTGTTGGGTGTTGTGTCCAAGAAATCAAGTAATTTCCCGGTTTGTTCACTAATAACAATAAGAAGGGAAAATATAAATAATTAATAAAAAATTAATTTTTCTAAAAAAAATCATGAATTTATAAAATAATTTTTCTTTACTCACGTAGGCCCGTCATCGAAAGTGAGTCCCCAATCTGTGAATTACTATAGACTTATTGAGGAGGATCATGTACGTGCAAAAAAATGTTATCAAAAAGCTTACACCATTGACTCAAAA